GAAAGTGTTGTCCTCTCAAGTGCCCACCACCCACTAGGCACCTCCCAGCCATTTTTCATTTCTGATGAGGGCCTCAGTGAATTCTCATTGAAACCTCACTGTAACCTCATTTGTTGAGCTGGGTGACAGACATCACAGGATCTGATCAATACCACAGTCTGGTGCTTCTGACCAGGATTCTCTCTAAATAATAAGGTAGCATGCCTGCCTCAAGGAAGGGATCTTTTAAAATGAAAGCTTTAACATGTTATATTATGTGCCCAACATTTTCTTCACCGACTTATCATATGCAAGGATTATGGCAATATAACCAGGGAAGTATTATTAGACACATTTTACCAACGAAGAAATCAAGGCTCAGGAAGTTCAAACCACTTGCCTAAGGATACAGAACGAGTGACAGGAGCAGCGCAGTTCCCACCTCTTCCTCTCCTGTGACTACTTGTTCTTAGAGAATCACACACACCCTACGAGAATGCCGAGAACACAGCGAGCGCAGTGTGAGGCTCTCACACTTGGGCGTCTCGGCGCTTGTGTCCCACGTTCTTTTAAAACCTTTGTTTTAGGAAACGTTCTGCAGCAGTCATTTCTTCACTCTGTATCCTGTTCCATCGCTGTGGCTGCCGCTTGCACGTCCCAACACAGTGCTGAAGGGTTTCACAGGGACTCAAACAGCAAAACAACTCTTAAAAAGTTTCCCATAAAATGCCATATGCAAACATCATGTGTGGTGTGCACATATTGGGCAGCAGCGCAGTGTCTGCTTCCTGTGTGGATGCATGGGTGGGTGCACTGGGGGCATGGGTATTTTCTGAGTAATATGGCTGTGTTTGGGGGTGGCTTTAGGTACCCAGGCAAACACGTTGGCCCGACACCCCTTACTCTTGGGTATAGAACAGATCTACAACAGAAAGGGGCTGTGGTAGGAGTGGATTCCTTTGCTCTGACCTTGGTAGACTCAGCACTGCCATTTCATTTTTCCTAAGAAAGGCTCTGCTGGCAAGTAAGTCTTAGTACCTGCCAAGAGCACTATTTCCTTCTAGGGGAATCTTCCCAGCCCCTGGCCTCTGCCAGGGCCTCAGGCAGAGTGGGGCTAGCCAGGCCCTGTATCCATTCTTCTCATCTTAGACAAGAAGGAGGAAATTGATCCAAGGGCAGCCGGTCCATGGACTGACCAGCAACCCATAAGGTGGCCAGGCATGGAATCTCTTTCCTATCAGAAGCAGTGTGTTTAACTAGGCCAATCGAGTTCTCATTCTTGGAAATTTAAATTGGAAATTACAGAGAGAACCAGGCAGCGGGCAGAAAGAGAAAACAGCAGATGCAAAAAGGGAGACCACATGAGAGTAAGGGGACCACATTCATGATGAGAGCTCGAAACTGGGAATGCCTGAGATGGGTGAGGAAGATGAGGCAGCCCCATGCTTAGAGTAGCCAGGGATCCTCCTGATACCTCAGCCCTCCTGATACCTCCCTCTGACACCTAGCTGGATTTCTGTCTCTACTATGGTATTACAGTGAGATTTTAGTCTCTTTAATTACATCAATTAGGATGCTTTTGGCTGCAAGTAACACAGAGCCCAACTAAAAGCAGTCTTCATAAGAAAAATAAGTCATCTCACTCCATAAGACAATCCTAAGCACTTCCCTGACTCCTTGGGTTGGCTAATTTAGTGGCTCAACAATGTCATGAAGGCCCCAGGTGTTTCCTGTGTCCTCCCATCACCCTCTGTTTTGCTTGTCCTTCTAGCCTACTTTCTCTCATGGTGTCAGAAGCCTGCAACAGTTCCAGACAATGACATCCAGAGATGAAAACGGGAAAAAAGGGAATGCACCTTTCCTGTGTCCCTTTTAAAGAGAAAGGAAAATACTCTTCCAGCTCCCCAGCAGGCTTCTCCCACATCTCATTGGTCAGAATTGCACCCTCTGCCCATTCCTAAATCAATCACTGGGGCCAGCAGGGAGGAATGCAGCCACCTGAAGCACAGGATAGCTCTATCCCTTACCCCAGTCAATGTCAGCCCTCTGTTAGCCAAGGAGAAAGCAAACAGCAGTGTCTGCTCCACTTACCACATCATCTACCAAACAATAGAGCTCCATTTGATAAGATGACCTGGTAACATCTGTTTCCTTCAATTCAGAGAGTTGGCTAATGCCTAGATCAGTCTTAGCAAGTTGAAGACCTGATCTTCAGTAGGTACTGTCAGAGAGTAGTTGAGAGCTGAGTGGGTATGTAAATATAATATTATATGGAGTCCTAAAGTTTCCGTCACTTTCTAATATTTTATAGGGCCCCAAACACAACAGAGACTCCAAGGGATGAACCTGCCACGCTGCTGCTAACTCTGGGCTTCCTGGTTCATTTCTTGCTTCCTTGGTCCTCCTAAGCAGTGATGGCATTCAGTCTTTCAATACAGGGCTCGCTTCTAGTCAATATAAAGGCTTTTCTGGAACAGTGGTTTTCAAAACTCCTTCATGTATCAGACAATCTCTTGGAGGGCTCCTTAAAAATTACTGGGCTCAAAAGGACAACATATGAAGGTTAGGGACTTCTTGAGCAGAAATGGGCAAACTTCAGTCCTTTTACTGTGATTCTGCTGTATTCTATAGATAATTTCATTAATTTGTAAATTTAGTGACAATTAGCTAGTGATCATTTAATGGGTGGCAATTCTAACAGTATAAATAGTTCTCAATGTCCTATGTCCCTAGCCTGCCATTTTTCAGCTGCATGTAAAATTGGGTAGGATGAGATATTTGATCATTATAAAGATTTAACTATTTTATGCTGAAGCGGCCACATTTTCATGGGATGAAACCAACTCGCACACAACAATGAAGGTAGTCGGCCACAGACTTGGAATGAGACCATATGTGGGGTGGAGATCCTTTTAGTTAGCCTAGTACTGCTGTACTGGCCTGTGTGTACATGGGGTCCTTCAACGGAGGCCTTGCAAGGCAAGTGGGCTGTGCCAAGTTTGTAGATGGGGCAGAGGAAACTAGAACAATGGGAAAGTAAGCTATTGATGTTAGGTCCAGCTATTGAAACAAGATAAGAATGAGGCTAGGGTCTTTAACTTCCCTAAGGCATACTTTTCCAGCTACCTTCTGCCCCATGTCCGGCACCTACATCCGTGATGATCTGTTTGATCCATTCTGGATTTACATATCTATATATATATGACAAGCAAAAAAAAAAAAAAAAAATTCTGAGCTCTACCCTCAAAGCTTCTGATCCAGTAGGCCTAGGAGGGGGCAGCTAATATGCATTTCCAGCTAGTTCCCAGGTGATGCTTCTGCTGCTAGTTTGGGCACCACACTTTGAGAACCACAGCTCTAGGGCTAGGGGTGGTGCTAATCTTCATTCCAAATGGAAGGGAAGCTGCTAAGGAGTCCACTTAAGTAATTTTTCCTGCTATAAAGATTTGTTTCCTTGTCACTTGCTGTCAACACCCCTTCACACAGCAGTGGCTAACTGGCTTAATGCTCAAAGTGGAGGCCTCTCAGTAAAGAGAGTGGACACTTCTTCACTCCTGGCAGGAAAGGGAAAGGAGAAAGGACCTCAATCTTTGGTTGGCAGAGCCTGACTAGGCAGCCGGGCACAGAACCCTACGGCTTTCCCACCTCTTTGTTTTCTCACCTATAAAACGAATAAAGGTGCTCGTCCTGCCAGTTTCACAGGTTGGGGTACATAGAGGAATGGTTGGTTGAAAGGGCCCTGCATAACGCAAAGCTCTTTAGGACTCGCAAACAGCCTTAATCGTACTAAGGGGCACATCAGGGCCGTAAGAAGGGCCCCTTGGGGGCAGGGCACAGGTGGTTGGGGGCTCCCTATGCTTGCCAGTCTCCTAAAGCAGGTGCCCACTTTCAGAAGTTCTTTCTGTACACCCCACCTGGGAGCCTCTGCTGGAGGCCTGCCTGAGCAGGGGGCACACGTGTGCGCTTGAGGATTGCTTCAGCGGAGAATGAAACTGCCGTTCCTTTCCGTCCGCGGTCCCCATCCCACGTAAGTGCCGTGGAACCCCGAGGTGATGAGCCGGGGGAAGCTGGCATCTCCTGCGCTCCAGTGCCGGCGCCTGGCAGAGCCCCGGACTCGGAGTTTTCTGCGGGCCCCGTCGCCGAGGGAGGGCCCGGGCTGCCCCGCAGAGCGTCTCCGCGGAGCCCTGGGGGCCGCTCCGCTCCTGCAAACATGATTCAGAACCGCGCGTCAGCCTTGGCTCCGGCGCCTGGCGCGAGCGAGCGGGGCTTGGCTGCCTCGGCCCCGTCTGAACCCTGCGGGCCGCGGGCCAGGGCGGGCCTAGAGCCGCCGCGCCAGGACCCTCTCCTGACGCCAGGACCCTGCAGACCCGGCCGCAGCCGCGCCGAGTGCCTCCCTCCGGGGCCTCGCGCCCACGGTCCACGCTTGCAACGCCAGGGCTGCACGGCGGGGTCCGCAGCTGGGTCTGAGCCTGGGACTCGGGGCTCCCTGCGCTCCGCGTGCCGCGCCCCGCGCCTTCATCCCAAGCGAAAGGGTACTGGGGCTTCACTGGCAAGGCCGGAGCCCCAGCCCCACTCTCCCCCACCCCTGCACTGCCCCTTTGAGCTGGGACAGGAGTCAGGGACAGGGGCCGAAGAAAGGAGATGTGCTGGCGCCCTCCAGGCTCCAGCCGCGTGAGGTTCCTGACGTGTGCAGCTGTGTGGCACACGGCTTCCAGCGTGTTCCTGGTAGGGGCTCCCTCTCTGTGAGTCGGTGGACAGGGATTTGCCTTGGAGGGTGGCACCTGGCTACAGAAGTATAAGACTTCGTGTCCGGTGAGCAGAGGGTCCTTTGGATAAGGAACTGAAGCTTCTGGGGGTCAGTCTGGAATCTTGGTTCCACCAATTATCAGCTGTCCAACTGGGAGAAATCCACTCCCCCTCTCTGTTTTCTTGGTTATAAATAACTATGGCTACCATTTGAGTGCTTATTATTTTCCATGTACTTTACATATGTTATTTTTATCTTTCCAACTATTTTGCAGGCCATATTCTGCTGATGGAGAAATGGGATTTCATCCAGGGAAAGTGACTTGCCAAGGTTACACCACTCGTAAGTGGAGACCTATGACTTGAACCTGTCTCTAACTCCCGAGACTGTACTGTCTCTGTGAGAACATGACACCATACAAAGAATTTTAAAACTGTAAGATGGTGACGGATACCATTCTCTTCTGATCTGTCCTCAGGCCAGGTCCTGAAGTTCAGGCTGAAACATGACCTTTCTCCCTCCCTCCTCTGCCACACTTCCCTAGGAGGGTCATAGCGCAAGAGGTAGGGTCTGGGACGGGGGACTCCTGGGTCAGCCTGGCCCCCATCCCCCACCTGGACCCTTTCCATCCTCATTTCTAGGCCACACTGCTCAATGCCCTTGAGTGAAACCAAAGGTGGTTTCACTGTTGTGTGGCCCTTCTCCTCCACTATCAGTTGCACAAAGTGGGAAGAAGTGGGAAGAAGACCAAGAAGGTCTGTACAGTAACTGGCGACCCCAGGGCCCAGTTTGGACCCTTAGGAGGACAGCCATGCCTCAACTTTCTCTTACATGTTTAGAATTCACCTTGCAGAGAAAATGGGTGGACTCTTGGGGAGAGGAGAGCCTGAGTGTCAGAGAAATTTGGGCGCCAGTCTGTTGTAAGATGGAATCTATTGATAACGCCACCACCAGTCTTGCTTGACCTCACAAGAGTTGTGGAAAGATTCAGAACAGATAATGGCCACACAAGTGCTCTGGGAAGTGTGAAGTGCCTAAGGTGGTATTATTCATGGAAGCCACAGCCGGCAACAGGAATACAAAGACGAATGCCATCTTGGAATCGCTCAGGCTAGCAGGGGAAATACAAATGGCTATACAAACAGTTAAAATATAAAACGCCATGCAAATGCTCTACCAATATGTCCACATGGTGTCGACTCATACTGATTCTGTAACAACAAAGAATATATACAGTTCGATCTGGGTAACCTCTATTACTATTGCAAGAATGCCTTTTCTTCACAGTAGCTCTAGCCCATCTGTCTCCCCTCTCCAGTTAGCCTCCTTCTTACCACTTGAGTGATCTATGGCAGGAATTTTTTTTTTCCTTCAGGGTGTATTTGTATTAGTTCCCTATTGCTGCTGTGATAGATAACCACACACGTAGTGGCTTACAACACACGTTTATCTTACAGTTCTGGATGTACGAAGTCCAAAATGTGTCTAAAATCAAGGTGTCAGCAGGACTGTTCCTTTAGGAGGCTCTGGGAGAAGATTCTGTTGCCTTGCCTTTTCCAGATTTTCAAGGCCACTTGCATTCCTTGGTCTGTGGCCCCGTCTCCATCTTCAAAGCTATCAGTGACCAGTTGAGTCTTTCTCCCATTGAATCACTGCCACCTCTGCTTTTGTGGACACATCTCCTTCTCTGCCTGACACTCTTTTCTCCCCATCTCAAGAAATATAAAGTGTTCAACTCTTCCTCTTCTTCAAATAGGTAACATAGCAACTTTTTCTATGAATGTAACAAATTTTGCAAAAAAAACCACTTTTCAGTTCCTAACTACCTCCCTAAAAAATCAGACTCCCTGGTGTCAGGGAAGAAGAAACAATGGGTGATACTAAATAGCCTCCACATAAAAGGAAAGGGAAAGGCTCCCTAGGTTGGGAAGCTCTAGTATGTGCTTCACTGGGATGTAGGTACAGCCCCTGGAAACATTAGTTGTTAACAATTGTCCACAGCTCTTCAGCTGCTCTACTTTATAATCCTTTGGTGCTGTAGACGTCCAAAACACTTTTTAAAGAAATCAATAAACAGTATTTTTTAGAACAATCTTAGGTTCACAGCAAAATTCAGCAGAAAGTAGAGTTCCCTGTCCCCACACCCTCCTCCCACTTGAAACATTTTTAAAGCATTAATAGAATTCTTGGCTCCTTTTCTTTCCCCAAAAGAAATTCCTGCATCATAAAAAATAAAATCGTGCTGCTCTGGTTCAAGTGGACTCATGGAGTCCCTCAACCTCTGTAAATCCTACTGCATGGTTTAAAACCTGTTTTGCAGTTAATTTCTCTGAGTGGAATAATGAGAATAACTCAAGTTAGAAAGTACCCTCTGGACCACAGAAGTAGGGAGGCTGTCATGTTGGAAATTCTCCAGGCTTCAGAAGCAAGAAACGTCAAAATATTCTCCCAGGAATTGGAAAAGAGCAGGCTCTTGTTCTGACACTTGGTTTCCCCACCTCTGCCATGTAGCATAGACTCTTCTAGGCCATACATCTGCTTATTTTAGTTACAGTAGTGAAAGGGCCAGTGGGCAACACGGTGAAAATTACATGGACCCAGAAATTGGGGACTGCATGGGGCAGCTGGGATCCATTCATTACATATTTATGGAGTCCCTATCATGGACGGGTTCGGATGTAGGGGACATGTTGATTAAGACCTAGTGTGGGCCTTTCGTGTTCTGGACCAGATAAGTGAACAAGCCGGTGAGGCTCTGTGTGGGCTACCCTGGAATACAGTGTTGCACGAGGTTGTGTGATAGGTGCAGGGAAGGCCTAGAAAACTTTGCAGGGAGAATGATTTCTAAGCCAACACCTAGAAGACACGCAAGAGTTCGCTGGTTAGAGAGAGAGGCTGAGCGAGGCTGGGCGAGGCTGGGATCGTGGAGCCGGACGTGCGCAGCCGGGACTTGGGGAAGAGCTGCAAGGAGCGTGGGGCATGGTGGAGAGCAGTCAGGGCCAGACGATGCTGGTGGGCCTGGAGGCCTTGGGAGCGCTGACTTTCTCCAAGAGCTGGGATGCCAGGACCGGGTCCCAAGCAGGGGCCCAACGTGACCTGGTTTGCTCTTCACTGACAAGCTCCATGGCCCTGGGCAATGTGCTTCTTCTGTGTTTTCTTCTTCTCATCGGTGCCTGGCAGAGCTCTGGGGTCGTTTTCTGCTCTGGGCCTGAAACTTCAAGCAGTAAGAGGACGCAGTCCACAGCGCCGCTACTGGGGCTCTGCGACATTCCCACGGCCGTCTCCCAGGCCCCGTCCGGGCCTCCGGGTAGGGGGACTTCTGTCTGCCAAGGATGAAGGTGACCTTGCTCAGGCTGCAGGAGATGGAGGAACGTGGCCCAGCGGAGGGGCCTTCGGCTGCGGGTGCGACAGGCAGCCGGAGGGGTGAGGGCAGGGCGAGCGCGGTCCGTGCTCCAGGCTCGCGGCCTCCCCGCCGGCCGGGGAATGAGTCCCCAGCTCCAGCCGCATCTCGCCGCCTCTATCGCATCTCTGGGGCCTCAGAGGGCAGCTGCCCGGCCCGGAGGCCTGAAATCCGCCCTTTGTTACCTCCCGGGACGTCAGAGCCACAGCTCACTAAGGGCGGCAGCCTCGGCAGCCGGAACCGCGGGCCAGGAGCGGGGCCGGCGACAACTTCGGGTCTGCGCAGGCGCAGGCCGGGGAAGCCGGGCGCGGCCGGGTTTCTGCGGCCCGCGGCTGCCCTCTCGTGGCCGCAAGGCGCCATGGCATGGCCGCTTCCACGCAGCGGAAGCCGGCGCTGGGCGGTAGGCGGCTGGGCAGGCCAGCCGGGACGCCCGCCAAACGCTGTGTTTTTCCAGGGCCGCGCGGGCCAGGGGAACCCTGCGTGTTTGCTTGGTGGGCGTGGTTTACTGGGAAACTAAACGGAAGATGTCCTGCAAATCGGCATGCACTGTATTGTTTAGGAGCGGACAGCCCGGAAAGTAAATACCAGGTGAGGGCAGTGCTGGGAACCACGGCCTGCGCCTCCCCTGGCCCTCCCCTGCCTTGGCCCTGACGTCGAGCGCGGCACCGCGGGCCTAAGAGCGCCGCGGCTCGGGGGAGAGGGAGGAGGAGGCAGGCGGGGGACCCAGAAATAGGAGCCAGCCAGGGCCAGCCTATCCACGCCTGCCACCCCGGGGGCTGCAAACGGGGGATACCACCCCTTCCGCCCACCCCACGGAGGCGTCCTACGCCCCGACGAGCCACCATTCCAGAAAGGCCAGCTTTCCCAGGGCGGGGGTGAGAGTGGAGGGGTTGCTCAGGGCCCACCCAAGCATAACTATCTGAAGGGCACACCCCACAAGGGAAGGTTTAGGTGAGAGGGGTAAGCGCACACTCTGGCGTGAGAATCATGGTCCCGCTCCACGCAGGGAGCCACAGTACATACGGTTCTCTTTAAATCCATCGTCACTGGCCGGGTGGGCCTGAGTCTTCTCTTGTCTCCTGATTCTGCGTTGTCCTTCAGCTTTTTGGACCCCACCCTGTTCTTGTCTCAAGAAGTCGCCTTGGAATGTTTCCTCTTGTCCGAGGTTTGAAGATGAGTCACGAAAAACATCACCCTGCCGTTGCGGAAGTGCATGTTGGCTGCTCGGCCATTCCACCTGTATGTCCCAGGATGGTTTGCTAAGGAGATGGCTTCTTCAGGGCTCCGCTCTTTTTCATGCTCTTCTCAGCTCCAGACTGCAGCCCATCGATGGACATTATCCTGTACCCCCCGGGGGAGGAGAGTGGGGGAGAGCTTCTGTGCCTGGATTCTTGGTGGAGGAGGGCAAGTGCAGAAATGAAGCCATGACTTTTGCAGAAGTCATGCGTTCTGTTCAAGGATAGTCCTTTCTGTAGTCTCCACACATCTCCTCTTGCTGCAGGCCCCTGGGATTTTACTGTGTGACGCGGTCGTATTGCATCTGCATAGATTATCAAAGCACCTCATGACTGTGGAGGAAGAAGTCCGGGACAGAACATGGGTCGGGAAGGCTCGCAGCATGGGCTTGGTCAGGTGACACAATGTCCCATGTTCTTCAAGAAGTGTCTAGACTGGGTGACTGATTCTATTGGAGATCTGGCACAGTGCTCTTGCCACACAGCGGGGCAAACTGAGCTCCAGAGAGAAGTGACCGGCCCAGGTCACTCAGCCAGCTGGTGACTGAGCTGGAATTCATTCCCAGGTCTCCTGACACCCAGTTCATTCATTTTTTGCATGTTTCCAAGGATTTACTGTATGCTAGGCACTGTTCTAGGTGCTGGGAATATACAAAGTGCCTGTATAGAGCTTGTGTCTTGTAGTATGTATGTGGGGAGATTGTGGATAAACAAATAAACAGATTTATCCAGAATGCCACATGGTTAAAAGTTTTGATGATACTCAGTCTCCTCTTGTTTTTGAAGGGAATGGGTTTGAGGCTTGGGAGGAGATGTTCACTCACACATTCGGTCATTAAATAAACATTAGAGAATGTCTCACTATGTGCCAGATGCTGTGCAGGGCACACAAATATGCAGGCAGAGTCTGCCTTCAAAAGCCGCCACCCAGCTGGGCAGATAAGGTATGCCTCTTAGCATCTTTACGTGGATCTCTGTAATTGTTATGCTGATTGTTTTTTTCTCCAGATCTCTCCCAAAAAAGGACACTTGTAGAAAACGATGATTCTGAAATGGTACAAAACCCTTTCCCAAAAGGGAGAGCCAACCGCTGCTACTGACTTATTGATGGCTATCACCCAGTGGCTTTGGGGAGGCAGCGGGCAGCCCAACCACTGCCTGTAATAAGGAGAGACAACTCAGCATCCGCCCTGCCGTGAATAATAGAACAAAAAGCTGCCGGCGCCTGCGGGATCAAAGCACATGAGCAATCACATAGTCTCTGGGTTAAATAGATCAGCAAAAGGGCTGGGCAGCCAGTGGATGCCATGGAACTTTTAGGGGGAGAAGTCTGAGTTGTGGAGGAAGCCTCAGCTGGATTTGAGTACCTTACAGGCTCTCTCCTGTTAGCCTTCTTTGGACATGGAATACTCCTCCCTCTATCCTTCCTCTTTACCACTGCTGTTCCCCAAGTCTAAAAAGATGGGGGCAGGGAGCGACACAGGAAGGGATGGGAAAAGAATACCAGACCAGGAGGCAGGAGACACTGGATCCGTGAGCGTAGACATGCTGAATGACTTCCGTGACCTCAGTCTCACCATCTGTAAAATGGGAAGGTTGATATATGGCCTCAAACCTTCTGCCCACTTTGATAAACTGTATTTCACCAATAAGAGGCAGAGATGACTTGTTGCTTTTCAGGTTCCTGTCCGATTACTTCTAGGTCAGGCAGAATGATTGCCCGGACAATTCTGGGTTCTCAAACTCAGTCTGTGAACCCCCATTTCTTGGGGGAGTTGGGATCGGGACAGGCAAGAAGGCTATCCTATTCCTGCCTCCTACTTGCTCCCACTTGCCACTGGGGAGATCAGTGGCAGCCTTGG